CGTAAATCCTTGCATAGCATGATTGCTTGCATGGTTGGATGAGAAATCCAGACAATGGCTTAATTAGCCACTCCACCGATTAGTAATGTAAATTCAATTAAATAAGTTGAATAATGCTACAATGAATATCATATGAATGAATTACACATTACTTATAACAAATTCATTTTTTAGATTCCTGTCCAACAGACAAAATATTCTTTAAATCTTGTCATCCCACAATTTTTGGTTGCAGCACTTTTTTTCCTGCTCCTAAATGCTTTGCTGTGACAAAGTTTTACTGTGTTGCTGTCAACTATTTTGTGCATTGTTATGCATGTATTTTTTGAAAGATGTTAATAAATGCAAAGAATTGTTATTGCACAAATTTGGTTTAATAAGACTACTATAAAAAGTTGAAAGTTTTCTCTTATAAATATCCAACTCTTTCCCAGCCATATACACTTATAAAATACTTCAGAATATTGTCCAGCATGCAAGCAAAATATATTTATGCAAGCAACAATAATTTATTTAAAATATAAGCTGCTGTCTGAAGATAGTCTATAACTTATTTATTTTTTCAAGTAAAAAATGGAACATCCGTTCATCCTCAAAATTTAACTCTCCAACATAACTCTCCAAGTAAGAAATGTGTTGGGCTCAAAGTAAGCTATCAAAATAAACATGTAACTGCAAGATGCATTTTTTTATTAAATAAATTAGGATGTTCTGCAAAGTGACATTTTGCTGTGATTTTGCTCCCTTCAAAGGAAAGGAAAATTGGGATAAAGTTAATAAATTCCACATAAAACCAACAGGGGAATCATTTTGTATCCATGAATTGAGAAAAATCAATGCTGCTGAAAATTGATTTTTATGCAGTAAATACTGAGAATCAAAGATTGCAATTATTTTTATAAAATGAATTACAGAAGTATAGTGCACTGAGTTGTGACAAAAACCGTTGATGTTCATTCCAAAAACCACAATTTAAGAAAAAACAGACATTATGCCACACATTGAGAAAAAAAATTACAGTGTCTGTGGATAAAAGCAATATTGTATAGGCAGAATGCAATTCCAAAAGCTTTTTCCATGAAAATCACTATTATTCCCTCATATAGAGTAGTTGCAAATGATCAGTCAATTTATTCAAGGTGTATAGTAATTATTTTTTTGCATGGAATAACACTGCATCAAGGCATTGCTGTATTAGTTTGATGACGTCCATTGTGAACTGTGGTCTGTGTTTTAGTTGCCATCAATAGTCCAACAAAAACCATAACAGCNTTATACAATACTTCAGAACATTATCCAGCAAGTAAGCAAAATTTTCCAACATAACTCTCCAAGTAAGAAATGTGTTGGGCTCAAAGTAAGCTATCAAAATAAACATGTAACTGCAAGATGCATTTTATATTAAATAAATTAGGATGTTCTGCAAAGTGACATTTTGCTGTGATTTTACTCCCTTCAAAGGAAAGGAAAATTGAGATAAAGTTAATGAATTCTACATAAAACCAACAGGGGAATCATTTTGTATCCATGAATTGAGAAAAATCAATGCTTCTGAAAATTGATTTTTATGCAGTAAATACTGAGAATCAAAGATTGCAATTATTTTTTATAAAATGAATTACAGAAGTATAGTGTACTGAGTTGTGACAAAAACCGTTGATGTTCATTCCAAAATACTGTACCACAATTTAAGAAAAAACAGACATTATGCCACACATTGAGAAAAAAATGACAGTGTCTGTGGATAAAAGCAATATTTTATAGGCAGAATGCAATTCCAAAAGCTTTTTCCATGAAAATCACTCTTATTCCCTCATATACAGTAGTTGCAAATGATCAGTCAATTTATTCAAATGGTAGTAATTATTTTTTTGCATGGAATAACACTGCATCAAGGCATTGCTGTATTAGTTTGATGACGTCCATTGTGAACTGTGGTCTGTGTTTTAGTTGCCATCAATAGTCCAACAAAAACCATAACAGCTGACCAAATGTATCTGAAAATAAATGGATTTGAAAATATGTTTCAATTTCTACCAATAAAAAGAATTACACACTTCAAGATACAGGCAGTACCTTGCAATTCAACCCTAATCCATTGCCAAACTAGGGTTTAAAATGGTCAAATTGCAAGACACTCAATAAAATCAAGGGCAAACAGTACAAAAACACTAGAAAAGGGGCTAAAAGAGGTCACATTTTGGGATAGACATTCCATTGTGAGTCAACCTCCAAGAAAATTCAACTGCTGAATTGCAGGAAGGTTAAATTGCAAGGTACCACCTGTACATTGTTGACTGAAACTAAAAATTGTGCATTGGGCCAAAATGCAACACTTACTTTTGGCATGCTTTTTTTAAATATAAATTTACATCATTGTATATCATTTGATGATTCATCTGACATCAAATCACTGAAGTTGACAAATGAGCTAGTTAGGGTTTGCTGGAAAAAATAATTTTGAAAATGCATTTCAGGAAATAGTTACACTGTTATTCTGTTATTTTTTTGCAACAATACAATATTCTTTACTCCAAAAAGGCTTTTACTAGGTCCAACAATTTTTTGGTTTCAATTTGTTCACATTTTTTTCACATGGGACCTGTTGAGTTCTTCAACGAACATCTTACCTAAAAAGCAGGGGTTCTGCCAACAGGAACACTTTGACAAGAACTTTAAAAATTGATTCGGAAGCCGCTGCACAGGTCAACGAAATTGCGACCCCGTGAGACCCCAGCACTGAGAAATAGACCCTAGTGACGCAGTACCCGATTGTGGCAACCCAGAAGACCCCTGCAGGACGATCTTGGGAATCCTACACATTTAGGACAAGAAGAACAACTCATACTTGATTTTGGCTCATGCAGTTTTGTACCAATATAAATGATGACAATTATACAAGAAAAGCATATACTTGTGAAGTGAGGGGTGATATAAAATTTATAAAATATTGTATCGTCCAATTCTTTCTGTTTCGTAGAAAAAAAGCTTGTCTCCAGAAAAAGTTGTTACATTAGAAGGTTTATCCAATCCACAGAATTCCGCAAAATCATCCGTGAAATTCTTTCTTCGGCACGCAGTTTCCAGATTTTTCTTTTAATTCCCTAAATAATTTGTTTTTATTTTTCATTCGAAAACTTGGATCATTTACAACTTTATACTTTGTTTTCCACTCTCTGATGTTTCATCTCTGTGACAATCCCTTTTGGTTACGAGAGTGTGAAAATGCAAAAAAAGTTGTAGGATATCAATAAATATTTTTCTCGTGAAAAATAGTTTGCAATTCTCATCATTCCAACCAAGGGAGGCACATAACTGACGAAACATAATCTTGAAACGACTTTATATTTCGGAGGTTACAAACACATGAATGTTTAGCAGGGTTGATTTACCTGGAAAGCGAGGATGTCCAGGGAAGTCAGCAGCTTCCCACTGATGACCAACCCGATGAGAATGGCAAACGCAGAAAAAAGTGCGGAATGCGAAATAATTTCGGCTGGTGACAAGTTATACTTGGCCATGGACATTTCTTGCAGCTTCGCAATCACAGCGATCCCAAACGAAGCAACCAAACTCAAGGCTGTTCCTGTCATTTCAGAAAAAAATTGGAAGAGGACTTTGTTTATACAGTCAAACTTTTTCCAAGTTTATAGTAATCCCTCGGGCCTGCAAAAATTGACTGAGAAGAAAATGTTTTAGTCATCAGGCAAGCTAGCAACTTTAATGGGAAAAGAAGGGGGAATTGGAACTTCTGGGTCTTAAACTGCGCTGGGAAAATTAATTAACAGGATGATGCTAAACTTGGGTGGTAAGGATACATTTGAAGTACAGTAAAGTATGCTACTTTAAAATACTGCATTACTGTATGCCAGTACATAAAAACCTGAGCAATCAAATATAATAATTGTCTAGTCAGGTACCTTTTACTAAATTCATCAAAAGCCTCTTGCACAAAAAAAAGGTCAGCAAAGAGGTGCATTTCAGTAATTTAAGTAGATTTCAGAAATTTTTATGAGTCTTCTTTGTCTGCAGTTTTCCAGCAGTTCAAGACAAAGTCTTTGAACAACTCCTAGAACTACATTTTCTGACCTCATCCTGAAAAAAGTCAGTCCGTGAAATCATCCTGACATCTTGTCAATAAAATATAGTTTCTACACATTGAGATGACAATAGGCAAACAAAAATGCTACTTTTTAAGTTGAACCTCTGCAAGTCAAATGCAAAGGGACCAGCAAAAAAGGATTGTGGAAGGTTATGAGTTTGGGAGGTTTTGAGCTACAAAAAAAAAGCATTTTGGTTCTGGGAAACATAGAAGCATTGCAGGAAATTATAAATGGTGACAATCTGGGCCTTAAATTGCTTCTTGAATGTGTGGACAGGATGCT